GCTTGTTGGCAAGTGTGACCATCCCGGACTCCGTGGCCGAGATTGGCTCTGGTGCCTTTGACGAATGCAGCTCGTTGGCTAGTGTGACCATTCCCAACTCAGTGACCGAGATTGGGCTTGCAGCCTTTGCAAATTGCAGGTCGTTGGCAAGTGTGACCATCCCTAACTCAGTGACCCAGATTGGCATGAGTGCCTTTGCAGGATGCAGGTCGTTGGCAAGTGTGACCATCCCCAACTCAGTGACCGAGCTTGGAGAGAGAGCCTTTTCACAATGCAGCTCGTTGACAAATGTGACCATCCCTGACTCGGTGATTTATGTTGGAAATCACGCGTTTGCAGGATGCATTGCTTTGACTGTAGTCGTGTCCATATATTCAACATGGTTGGGAGTTGATGTTTTCACAGACTGTAAACGGGTTCTTGCAAAAGAATGTCAATGTCAACAGTGCAAGTACACATGGTTTGGAAACGGCTGGGTGTGTCCTCGACGGGTGTGTCCTCGACGGTAGCAATCTTATGCAATCTTCACATCATGGCCACAATGGCTGCCCTCGCTAAGAACCTTTTCAAAGCAGCTGCGATGTACCTTTCAGGGTGGCATGGTGCGACCCTAAACAGTGTCTCTGTTGATTGCTGGGCAACCTTGGAAGCAAGTTGGCGAAACGACCCTTTCCGCTGCCGCTCAGCTACAAAGGCGGCCCATTCCTCCGTGTGCCAGGGGGCTCCGCTACTAGAAACAAAGAAGAAAGACAAGGAATGCGACTTATTTTTCTTCAGACTTTGCCTCCACCGCATCGGTCGCGAAAACACTCTTTGGTCGGGTGAAGCGGAAGCGACTCGGTCCCCGCATTCCCATATCGCAATGCTAATGATGCTAATGATGCAGAGCACATGCGTCAACATTTTCTAAAGTATGCAGAAGTAATTGCAGTTGGAATCATGCACTGCTTCTTTTTCGGGCTCTTGGTGGGAGCGAAGATCAGATGGACCTATCAGCTTTTTGGAACCAACATGGTGTTTTTTCGCCGTGTCATGATTTTCTTCTGCATAAGCTGTAGAACTGCGGGGTCCAGGGTGAGGTCAGGCGACCGGAACCATCGCCTCCAACATCTTCCGGAACCATATGGGGCATGGTAACAAGTCACTTTTTGCGGCTTAAGCACTCTGTTTTGGTGGATGCACACCTTTCAATTTCATCCTTTTTGGAGAGCGCCTCCTAGCCCGAGAACCAGCCGTTTCTCGAGGACAGCCGTTGGCGGCCCTGCCAGGGGCATCTGGGCTGGGACAAAGGCGCAGCGCGCGGTGCACGGCGCTTTTGTGTGTGGCGAACTGGGTCAATCCTCCAACCTTGCGAAGATTCTTTCTCCGGGTTCCTGGACAAATCCCTAAGTCTTTGTACAGAACAGCCGGAACTGGCCATGCCATCCGAACCATGTGGTCGGGGCCAGAGGGAGAACAACCTTAGATTCTGCCAGACCTCTCGGCCTGGACTGGATCTTCCGATGATGCGGTGCGCAGGTCAAAGCTGCCGTTGGGATGTCTCGAAGGACTTTCCGCCGCTGGGTGGTGCGCAAAAAGACGGACTTCAAACATGGCTTGGATATGCTTAGTAGCATACACCAAGGGCAACCAAGTAGATATAGCGGTACATTGGATACTTTGGGTGAAGGATGGGATTCTTAGATGGGTCTTAAAGGGGTGTTGGATGGGTCTCCTCTATCTGGGTTTCGTCGGCGATTTGTTGTGAAGGCGAACTCTTGGTGTTTTTTGGCTCAGTTGGTCGCCCCGTGGAACATGTTTGCAGCGATCATGTAGCATCGCAAGCTGTGGGCTTGGGTCCACTTTTGGCTGTGATTGATATGTGGAATGCCTCAAACACCTACCCGAAAGATATTTGTAGTTAGGGGTGCTGGTATCCAGATTTAGTTCCTGGTCGAGAACTCTCATAGAACCTCGACATCACTGCTTTGGAGACATGCAGACATCAGGGGTTTGTTTTCAGATGCAGACGCTTGCTTCGGTGCATTGAGACAGAGAGATGCCCCAGCGACCTGGGGCGGCCTGACGTTGAGACACTGGTGGAATGTGTGCGGATCTCGTTGGACGAGACTGGAATGAACACTAGGTCACCAACAACTCAAGAACTATATAGCTTTTTGTTACTACTAGTAAGGCACTTGTTACTACTAGCGTGGCACCTGTTACTACTAGCGTGGCACTTGTTACTAATGGCCATATCAAGAACTATATTACCAACCAGGATCTCATGAGACTCGTCGTCCGATTTGGCCGGTCCAAGAAGTTATCCGACGGAGAACACGACGGTCCATGGCATATTTGGTTCCACGATGGTCCGCGGACGACCTCAGAAGTCCAAAAATGAAACGAAGATCTGAGCAGATGCTTGATCTCTTGGTTTCAGAATGAGAATCCCCAAACTCGGATCTTTTCCGAACAGAACACCCTGGCCGACCCCTCACCGGCGGACCCCTTTTTGTTCCACTCTCCGGCGCAACGCCCGCGTGGCCGTGGCCACGAACGGACGGAGCCTGGGCTGCTGGGTCTGTGGCGAGATCTCTCCGAGATGTCTTCACCGGGTTCACCGCAGAGTTGCCACGGCGCACAGAGGAGCCTCTGCCCGACGTCCTCGGTTTTCCTGCCCCCTCGGCCCGACGAAGGCGTCGTTTCTTTTACGTCCGACCTCCGGTCCATAGGACCTGCGACCACCTCCCACCGTCGCGGCGAGTTCGTCCGCTGCGGCCGCGACGAGTTCGTTGCGGTACCGAGGCAGTCGCTGTGGCCGATGGCCATTTTCTTGCTGTCGCCTGGCACGGTGGAGGTGGAGGGTGCGTTTGGAGCGGAGGTGATAGGATAGACCCGATCTATAGGACATTTTGGTGATTGATCAAGTGTATTGGGCACCATACCATGCACCCATTTTCTTCGCAGACGAAACTGCAGAAGGACCAACTACCAGATTAGAACAACCATTGTTTTGATGGTCTTTGCCAAAGAACCATTGTTGTGCAAACCATTTCTTTAATGGTCTTTGAAGGCTAAGTTATAACTATCGTTTCCATGTTGGTCCAAATGAAACATCTTCCATCCGCGGGGTGTGACCTGCTAACCGGCTCGAGTCCACATCGTGCCAAGAAATGCCAAGAAGCCAATGCTTGCTGGAGCCTACCCAGGAAAAAGCAGTGGATAACCTTCAACCTTCTAGTCTTGGGATTGGTTTCCTCATTTTTAATGGGTAAACTGAGGGAGTCACTGAGCTCCATGCGGCTTCTGAGGTTAGGGGCCTCTGATGCGATCTACCAGAACTACGCGCGTGGAGCCCAGCATTTCTGCTGCTGAACAGTTGGGAGAGTAGCAGTGACCAGCCCTGCACTGGGGCGCTTTCCTTGACTCGAGCGGCTGCAGAGGTATTGGTTGATGTCCATGGCCGCTGGCGGCGATGTTCGCAAGACGGTGATGTACTCTGCTGCCTACAAGGCCGGTGGGAACAGAAGCTCCGAAGGCTACGGGGAGAACGGTGGGTCCGGTGGAGAAAGGAACAGCCCCCCCCGACCGCCCGAGGGTCCAGGGTAGCTGCTGGCTAGCTCAAAGTCTTCGCAGCGGATGGTCTCCTTGGATGTTTGCGAAGTGCAGGTCAGTGGTCACTCTTCCTGGACTTGGACGATGTGTGCAGAAGCAGTCTCACAGGGGTGCACCCTCACACATTGGCTGGCTTCGCCTCGCTTTCTGCGGCGCCAGACCGCAAGATCCCCTCACAGGGCCTCACCGGGCCCGAGTCGCCCCAGTCTCCTTCCGACGGCGGAGACTGTTCTTCTTCGTCTCCAGTACTCCAGTCTTCGTTCTCTCTCTGGGTGTGTAGAGAGCGGCGCAACCGGTGAAGCACAGCTTAGCAATTTATTCTAAAGAAAAGGTTTCCTTTAGGTGGAAACAGCTGTACAGTAGATTTCAGATGCTCACAAGCCGAAGATATCGATTCCAACAAGGCCGAGGCCCGAGAGTGTTCACTTTACAAGCTCGTTTGTTGATCATTTGTAGAGAAGATCGCTTGTATTGCTCATTCTTTTGCCCAACTTTGACGGAGAAGTGGTGTATCAGTGTGGGTCAAAACCGTAGCCGGGGTTCCCGCGCAGATGAACATCCCAGTTTGGTTGGTTATCTCAGTTCTGTTGGCTTTTTGTTCTCCTGCACAACTCAGTTTTGTGTCTCATGACCAGTGACAGTCGGCAAAAGATTATCATGATTTTTTGAGAAATGCCTTCACTAAGAATCCTCAGCCACTGGTACTGGTGTTGGGAATTCTCCACGGTCTGGAAGAATTCTTGTTTTTCGTCTCTTCTCCCAACATCTGCAGGGGGTGCAATCCCTGGGTGCTGGCATGGCGCCTTGGTTTCAGCTGCTTCCCGGTCTTCGCCATGAAGAGAATTGCACGAAGTTCGGTGGTTCGTGGATTTGGAGGCATCAGCTTTATCAGCTTTTCGACCAATCCGATGACTGATTGGCATATCAGGACTCTTCGGATGGCCAACAGCATTCTGCCAATTCTGCACCATTTTTGCCCAAACAAGTCCAAACATGTTCGAAGTGATGACTTCCGCCTTTTGTCTGACCCCTGACCTGCGGTCTGGAAATCAAACCTTGAACAAAGGTCCGAGGGGACAGCTCCATTCGGTGCGACTCACCCTGTTTGGCGACTCTTTTGGTACTGTAGCACTTCTGCCTGAAGTTTACGATCCTTTTAAGGTTCACTTGGCGTCGGGCGGACCATCACAGGTGGTTGTTTCCTTGATTTCGGAATCAGGACCATAGTTGTTACCCCTCAAACCATGGCGCTGGTCGATCCTAGATCAGCCGAAGCTCTGGGCACCGCCAGCGCAGCCGAGCACCGCCGACCACCCGGCCCCTCGAGGGTTCGACCCGTGTTCCACCGCTGTGCTCATTCCGCTGTGCTCCGTGTGCGTTCGACAGAGCGAGCTGAGGCTTGGTTGATAGATCTGACGGAGGCCTCCTACTTTCTGCAAGGCAGTCTCTGTTTGGTGCTCACTTTGGGACTCCTGGCGGCCAAGGCGAAGGGTCGGACGAAGGGCCTTAATGAAGGGGAAGGCCCTTTTGGGGGAGGCCGAGGGAGCGGCCCGCAGGAGAAACGAGGTGGGAGGGCGAGGGACACTGCTCACATCTCGCTTGGAGACAGGGAGACGTGGGACGTTTCTTTTGCTTTTTGGCAGTGGATTTTGGATGTGGGATAGATCATGGTGAGCGTCACACGTGCTTGACAAATTATTGAGGTGTCCGAAATGGGATCATATGCATGATCATACATATGAACCCCTTAACAACTTAACAACTTTACCTCAGTTATATACTGACCGCAAAAACCGAGGTAGTTTGTTTGTCCTATTGAAGTTAGGTATTTAAGTATAGCACAAACAAACGAACTCAACCCTTTCTGGTTAGGTTGTGTTGGATATCCTAACCAGAAGGGTTATTCTATGTTATTGAAATCCGGTTTATGTCGGATTCTGCCCGTTCTCAGCCCGCTCTCTCTGTCAAGCAACGACCCGGATCATGGGATCATGGGATCATGGGATCGATGAAAATGACGCGGTGAGCGGCACGAACGCGGTGAGTCGCACGAGTCAAGTGACCCGTCGGAAAGTCCCTTTTTTGGGCCAACCTCCGTCTGAAGAAACGTCCGTCGGTCCGTCGGTCCCAGCGTCTTCCAGTGAGGAGCGTGTCTTCCGGTGTTGGGCACCTTTCACATGCTGGAGGATGGGAAGAAGGAGGACAGCCACGCCTGACGTCACTTGGATCGAGAATCGGGAGGTCGTCCGGTAGCGAAGGGCTTGCTGCGCATGGGGCAGTGCCGTGCATCAAGTGATGTGATCGCATCCTGCTCACTCTTTCGTTTAAGACATGTTGAGCTTCACCATTAAGTTTTTCTTCGGGGGTGGCGTTCTTGAAAGTTTGTAGCCGGAACAGTCCTGGTTCCAAAGAGCGTGGATATTCCCACATGATTGTCAACAAGTACAGTTTCTACTGCCTGTCCTTTACCAATTATCCAAGTTGTCCAACACCAAGATGTTCTTTCCGCCCGTCGTGATGTTTTGTTGCCCATTTCTGCGTTGCTTTGAGGTGAACCAAAAAGAGAAGTCCTGGACGCCTCAAAGTGAGGGACGTAATTCAACAAACACACACCATCACCGTCGGCCGTGTTGTCACTCCGTTCCTCTTCGTTGCACTTCGTTGTGGTCCCGACCGACCTCGCGAGGCTGCGCGGGCGGAGCGGTGAGCGAGCGTCGAGGCGAGGAGAGATCGGCAGGGGAAACAGAGAGGTGACGGTCTCAGAGGTTTTTGAGTGGGACAGTCGACTCAAATGGATGGTTCTTGTGGGTGTTAGACCCGGGACTGGGTTCCAAAAAAAATGAAGAATTAAGGATGAGAAGTATACGAAAGTAGAGATGAATCTCCAGGCCATTGCGATTCTCGAGCTGTTGAGTTCATAGACCCATGAAAGTTCCATTTCGGCAGCTGAATGGGGAAGCGATGCTTCTTGAAGTCATGCCAGAAGTCACTGGTCGGGAACTCAAGGAGCGGATCAAAGAGTGCCAGCTTTGGGACGATGAACTCACGCGTAAAACCACTCGGGTGGACGTTGTCTTGGGGCCGAGCAGGGTGCTGACGAACGACGAGACAGCTGCAGATGTGGGCCTTTCTCCAGAATCAGAGGTGACCGTAGTATTGAAACGAAACACTGTGACATGCTCTGACAGCTACTGCCGTGAGTTTTCCGAGTTTCGCAATGAGATTGGCTTGGAGTCATTCTTTGTAGTTGAAATCCCAAGCCATGCCACTGAAATTGATCAGGGCGCATTCAGTCAATGCACAACTTTGGCAGGTGCGACCATCAGTCACTCAGTGACCCAGATTGGCAGTTTTGCCTTTGCAGGATGCAGCTCATTGGCAAGTGTCACCATCCCTGACTCAGTGGCTGAGATTGGGGATGGAGCCTTTTTAGACTGCAGCTCTTTGGTTGGCATAACCATCCCCCACTCAGTGACCCAGATTGGCATGAGTGCCTTTGCAGGATGCAGGTCGTTGGCTAGAGTGACCATCCCCGAAACTGTGACCCAGATTGGCGTAAATGCCTTTACAGGATGCAGGTCATTGGCAAGTGTGACCATCCCCAACTCAGTGACCCAGATTGGCATGAGTGCCTTTGCAGGATGCAGGTCGTTGGCAAGTGTGACCATCCCCAACTCAGTTACCCAGATTGGGGATACTGCCTTTGAGTACTGCAGCTTGTTGGCAAGTGTGACCATTGCCAACTCAGTGACCGAGATTGGGGTTGAAGCCTTTAGATCGTGCAGCTCGTTGGCAAGTCTGACCATCCCGGAATCAGTCTTCGAGATTGGCGATCACGCCTTTGTGGATTGCAAATCGTTGGCAACTGTGACCATCCCCGACTCAGTTGCCCAGATTCCGTGCGGTGCCTTTCTACTGTGTAGCTCGTTGGCAAGTGTGACCATCCCCAACTCAGTGACCGAGATTGGGGATTTAGCCTTTGCAGAATGCAGCTCATTGGCAAGTCTGACCATCCCCAACTCAGTAACCCAGATTGGGTCTAGCGCCTTTGCGTCCTGCAGCTCGTTGGCAAGTGTGACCATCCCCAACTCAGTGACCCAGATTGAGTGTTGTGCCTTTGAAAACTGCAGGTCGTTGGCAAGTTTGACCATCCCTGACTCGGTTACTCTTATTGGAAACGACGCCTTTGCAGGTTGCAGCGCTTTGACTTTGGAAGTGCCCATCACTCGGGTCAGAGTAGATATTAACGCCATCAGAGGCTGCAAACGGATTTTGGCCAAAGAATGTGAATGTCAAGAGTGCGAGTACTGGTGGTTTCAGGACGGCTGGGTGTGTCCACGACGGAGGTGATCTTCACATCATGGCCATGTCCGACATGGCCACCCTCGCTGAGAGCCTGAGAAAAGCAAGCTATATGTACCGTTCAGGAATAAGCATGGTGTTATCAATTGACTCAACGACAGGGTATATACCGATAGACCTTTCCATTGTGAGCCGGAGGTGAACGAGGGGGTAGGACCTGAAGGGTCGTAGGACACCGGGAGGGTGACGATCTGAGAGCGGACGATGTGACGATGTGCCACCAGTCGATCGGTCCATCTCCTGATTTTGGGGGTCTCAGCTTCACCGACCTCTCCGTTTTGGGGGTCTTACTCCAGGACTCAGGACTGAGGCACACGGAGGAGATTCCACACGGTCTCTCTTCCGTTTGATGCCGCCTTCGGAAGTGACCAAGGCCTTGCATGAACGATCATGAATCTTGGTCACGCCCTTGCTTCGGTTGGGAGGATGACCTGAGACTGATGGCAGATGACCATGTCAGGCTACTTTCTTTCCCAAGACCCTCTGGATTGTTGCTGGCTGTATATTCCTTCACAGTGGTCCTGAAGCCGGGAAGATGTTTGTCCGCTTTGTTTGAAAGATTTGTTTTTGAAGCTACCAAGATCTTCTTGATTCTTCTTTGTATGGTCAGCAACTCAAACACAACTCTTCTGCCACTGCCTGGTTCGCAGTGCCTGGTTTCTCACCTTGGAGTGAGGTCACTTGAGCCTGGTTCAAGGTCGAGCTCGCCTGGTTCAAGGCTTGTGACTGGTGAAGGTTCTTCTCCGTCAATTTGCCACGAATTCGGGGTCTTAGTCCGCACCACAGATCTGTAGATCTTAAATGATCTTAGCATTACCATCATCTTTTCCAACCGCCCTGCTTCGACCGAATTTCCCTGACCGTGCAGAACTCGTGTTTTGACCGTCCTCTTCGTCGACACAAGGAACTCCGTGGGGCTGCGCCGCGCCGCGAACGCGCCCGGAGATTGCTCCAAGGACCGTTGGCGACGGAGAGTTGGCGTCGACGATGGCGTCTTCATCGGCGTTTTCAGGGCGATTTACCCAATCTGCATCGAGTTGAGTTCATGCCGTTTTTGAGGATCGTTGGTTTGCTGCGACCGAATCGGGAAAATATGTATTTCATGCCCAATAGATCCCACTGGCTCTTGAGCAGGCTTTTGGTGCCAATAGCAGGTGTGTGGGGGTAGTCCTAATTATCCAGAGGGGTTGTTGTAAACTAAGATTCCCCCAGGAATACTTTTCCCTGTGGTGGTATGTTGGGCTGACAGGCTTGGGGTTAGTAGGGTTTGGGGATATATTTATTTCATTCCCAAAAGATCCCAGTGGCTCTTGAGCAGGCTTTTGGTGCCAGTAGATGTCAGATTGCTCTTGCTGTGTGAGGGCTGTGTTGATACGTTTTTTATATGAAGATGTAGAGAAAGCTGAACAAATATTGGTGCAACTCAACCAGTTACCAGAATAATATTTGGAAACTAACTCAAGGGGGGTCAGAATAATTTAGAAATATTCCTGGGGGCTTTCACAGGGGGGGCCCTTAAGCCATGACCTATGAAAAAACAGTGTTTCCCATGTCGTCTGAACCGGGCTGAAAGGAAGAGATGGCTGTGGGGATCAAACGCTTTCCTTTCTGAACAGACAGAGACTTTGTCGACAAGAACGTCACGATGTTTTTCAATCTACTATAAGCGATGGTCGTTTTTCTGTCTCTGACGATGTCCCGATCGCACATCGCATCGCACATCGCCTCGGGGACACGGGTTGCGCGGAACCTCCTCCTCGTCGCGGAGCGGCGTGGCGAGCTTCTGTGGCCCGTGTGACCGAGCGGAAAAGGGGTCGGTTGCTGTAAGAAGGCCAGTGGTGCCTGATGAGGATCTCTAAGGTTTCGGATCAAGTCTTCTTACTCCAGAGGAGTCAAGAAGAATCTCTTTCAGCCATCCATCGATCTTTGTATAGAGTTTTAACGGCAGCCATGGCAATGGAGGTTTCATTTCGACAGCTGAACGGTGAAGCGATGGTTCTCGAAGTCATGCCAGACATCACTGGTCGAGAACTCAAGGAGCGGATCAAGGACCGCCAGCTTTGGGATGATGAACTCACACGCAAAACAACCCGGGTTGACATTCTTGCGGGGCCAAGCAGATTGCTGACGAACGACGAGACAGCTGCAGATGCGGGCCTCACTCCAGAATCAGACGTGATAGTAATTTTGAGACAAAATGCTGTGACGTGCTCCCACAAAGGGGAGTTTGACCAGTTTGGCGAGGAATTTGACTTGGAGTCTTTGTTTGTGGTTGAAATCCCAAGCGGTGCCACTGAAATCGTTCCGGATGCATTCATAGGATGCACGACTTTGGCCAGTGTGACCATTCCGGACTCAGTGACCCAGATTGGCATGAGCGCCTTTGCACGATGCAGATCCATGGCTAGTGTGACCATTCCCAACTCAGTGACCCAGATTGGCACTAGTGCCTTTGCAGGATGCAGCTCCTTGGCTAGTGTGACCATCCCGGATTCCGTGGCCCAGATTGGGACAGCAGCCTTTGGAATGTGCAGCTGTTTAGCAAGCTTGACCATCCCCAACTCAGTGACCCAGATTGGGGATCACTGCTTTGGAGACTGCAGCGCTTTGACGAGTGTAGTCATCCCCGACTCCGTGACCAAGATTGGGAGTGGTGCCTTTTCAAACTGCAGTGCTTTGACTCTGGTCGTGCCCATCACTCGCAAAAGGTTGAAGCTTGCTGCCTTGAAGGGCTGCAAGCGGATTCTAGCCAAAGAATGTGAATGTCAAGAGTGCGACTACAAGTGGTTTCTGGATGGCTGGGAGTGTCCTCGACGGCGGGGATCTTGACATCCCCGCGGCCGTTGACGTCGCTGAGAGTCCTTTTGAAGCATGCTATGCACTTTCATGCATCTTCCACGCAGCCGAGTGTGACTGAATGATGGCTAAACACTGAAGCATCTCAATGTCTACCCACTCAAGAACATACTCCAGAGATGCACTAAAACCCTTTGAGAAGATATACAAAGGCCTCATTTTCAATGAATGAAGCTTGGGTCACATATAGTGACCCGTATCACACCTACAAACCCAGAATTTCTTTGGAGCCACCTATTTTTGGCCAACACCGAAATACACCAGGCTGCAGGTAAAGGGCCAGCTGCGCGTGTTTTGGCGGATGATCAGGGCATTGATCCTTGCGTTCTCAGGGCGGATGGACGGTCGACCTGACCCGACCCTTACGCCGTCGACGCCGAGTGAGTTGGAGTCTTTTGGTGAGTTGTTGCTGGTTCTTCGGAGATGGGCAGCCATTTCCGCACTTTTGCCTGGGTTCTGAGGTTCGAGTTCAGAGTCGAAGCCACTTTGAAACTCGATTGCTTTCATGTCCTGCAACAGGTTCCAAACTCAACAACTATAAACAGGGTCTCCACATTCCAAAAGTATTAAGCAGCTACAAAAAGGTCTCCACATTCAACATTCTAATTCCTTTTTGGATGCCGAAGAGGTCTTCACTTTTGGTTTTTGGTGGAGAAACGGTTTCCCCGCGGTTTGTTCCACGCATTGAAACGGTTTGTTCCACTGGTTCAACCCCCCCGAAGCAATGGACGTGTGGGGACAGCTCCTTTGCGCAGGGGCGACCGATGGGAGGACAGCTCCGATGGCGGAGGAGTGGAGGCAGACGAATAACCGGTGTAGGTCATCTGGAGTATTCGGTGAGGTGAACATCACAGCGGAAACCTCGTGATGTTTTCTGTTGAGAGGTGTTTTCCACAGCGATGTCGAGCAGTTCAGATCAAAGTTCCAGTTTGCCAGTCTTTGATCAATCTTTGACGACGCTTTGCTTCAAGTTCGCGACCACAAAATTCATCAACACGACCCCAAAAGCACTCAAGACTCCAAACGACATCACGTCAACTGCTCTACTTTGCTGCTTCGCAACCAATTTTCACTGAGCAGATGTCTTCGTTTTCTGAGCGTCGCCCGGTTCGGAAGACCAGGGGATCAGATCAAACAACTCGCTTCCGGTCGTGCGAGTGGTTGCGAAACGTACAGGCGGGCTCCGGAGCTCAGAGAGAGCGGCCGGTGATCGGTTTGGGAATCCTGGAGCTCGCGAATCGGAGAAGGACAGGTGCTCGGTTTTGTAGGGGTTTCTTAAGCAACAAAAGCAACAAACGCAACATCACCAAGCAGGCCTGTTTCTTTGAAGTGACTGAATCCTCACCTGTGACTCAGGTCACTTGCATGTTTAAGGCCGGAGACGAGGATGGCACCACGTCGGACCCGGACGAAGAGAGTCCAGGTCTTTCACCGAATCCATTTTTGAGCGCCACCAACTGGGTATAGATCTTAGTAGCGTCCGAACGCTCCGTTCGTCGTAATGCCAGCGACGCCCCGATCGTAGCTTCTTGTTCCGATGCCAGGAGCCCCGTGAACTCGTAGCGTCCGATCGCTCCTTAGGAAGATCAGCAAAACAAGTTTCGTGGTTTTTCCCCACCATGCCTCCGACGTCCTCCCTCTTCCAGTTCGGCTTCACCCGCCCTGGAGGTGAGACGGTGGGGCGACGGGACGAGGGATGCGACTTGGACAAGACGAGGCGGGACTTGGTGGAGGGAGGGGTTTGAGTTTGTCAGCGTGTTGGCTTTATTTGAATGGTGAGATGATCACGGCAAGAACCCAGATTCTTGCATCAAATGATCATTATAATGTGTTTCTGATGTGAAGTGGATTCGTAGGTATGTTGCTAAGTTAAGGTGCAGACTGACAAAAGACTGTCCCTATATGGATCCACATCCTGAGGTTTCCGGTTTTTGAGACTTGTTTTGTGGGCGCATCCCCCAAAACCGACCGAGCCTTCGGGACACACAGGTACGGCAGTGGATCTATATAGGGTGGATCGATCGACGGGTTCGGGGACACGGAGCTGTCGGGCCGTCGCCTCGGTGCAGCGAGAGCTGTTCGCGTCGGGACCGCGGACCGTCGACCGCGTCGGCCGCGTTTGCACCGCCACGGTCTGGCGGCTTCTGGGGGGAACGACGTGCGCCGCAGACAGCTTGGTTGCGATGTGAGCGACGTGGAAAGTCGCAAACGTCGGCTCGGTTGAACAGCCCTTTGTCGCCGTTTACCATATGTACCACTACAGGGTCCGGTTCTTCGGTCGACCGTTTCGACGTCGATGTGTGGATCCAGCCTGGAAGCGAACGCCAAACGAACCACACCAGAAAGAACCACCGAATTGGTTGATCGTTTCTTTTTGGGGCCTTTTTCTTCTTTTTTGCCGCTTTCTGATGATCTGGTGCTGGGGACGTTTTTGCGGACTGACGTCTTTTTCGTTTCCAGTGGAGTAGATTCTGGAAGCCTTGAAGCTGATTGAAGCGGCCATTGAAGTGTTTGAGGATCAAGTGCAGCCATAGCGATGGAGGTGTCATTTCGACAGCTGAATGGCCAAGCGATGGTTCTTGAAGTCATGCCAGAAATGACTGGTCGGGAACTCAAGGAGTGGATCAAGGAGTGCCAGCCTTGGGACGACGAACTCACGCGTAAGACAACCCGGGTTGACATTCTCGTGGGGCCGAGCAGATTGCTGACGAACGACGAGACAGCTGCAGATGCAGGCCTTTGTCCAGAATCGGATGTGACCGTAATTCTGAGACGCAACGCTGTGACATGCTCCCACGAAGGTGAGCTTGCCCAGTTTGGCGATGAGATTGACTTGAACTCTTTTTTCGTAGTTCAAATCCCAGGCGGTGCAACTGAAATCGTTCCAGAAGCATTCCAGGGATGCAAGACTTTGGCAAGTGTGATCATCCCGGACTCAGTGACAGAGATTGGCTCTTATGCCTTTGCAGGATGCAGCTCCTTGGCCAGTGTGACCATCCCAGACTCCGTGACCGAGATTGGCTCTGGTGCCTTTGAAGGGTGCAGCTCGTTGGCAACTGTGACCATCTCCGAGTCAGTGACTCGGATTCCGGATGCAGCCTTTGCAGACTGCAGCTCGTTGGAAAGTGTGACCATCCCCGACTCAGTCCAGTTTATTGGGTTTAGAGCCTTCATGGGGTGCAGATCGTTGAGAACAGTGACCATCCCCGACTCCGTGGTCGACATTGACGAGTTAGCTTTTGCACATTGCTGGGTTTTGACTTTGGTTGCGCCCAGGGCTCGGCTCGGGTTAGATATCAAATCTGTCACACGCTGCAGAATTCTGGCAAGTGTGACCATCCCTGACTCCGTGACCCAGATTGGCAAGAGTGCCTTTAGAGAATGCAGCTCAGTGGCCAGCGTGACCATCCCGGACTCCGTGACCGAGATTGGCTCTGGTTCCTTCCAAGGGTGCAGCTCATTGGCTTCTGTGACCATCCCGAACTCAGTGACCCAGATTGGGAATAGAGCCTTTGAATCCTGCAGTTCACTGGCAAGTGTGACCATCCCCAA